TTAGAGAGTTTCAATGCTATGGATTTTATTAAGTACACGAAACAAGTTTTCTTTGACGGTGTGATGTTTGTGTGTGTTTGCAAGACTTAAGAAAAACAAGAAAACCACTAAAGGCAATCTCACAGTGTTTGAATAAACAAAACGAAAAAAAAAAAACAAAAAAAAATAAATACATAAATAAAATATTTAAAAAATAAAAAAAGACTGCAATCATACGACCACGGATTTATAAGAACAAAATCAAATGGATAATTAGTAGCTCTTTAAAAACCCAAGTAATTAAAGTTGAAAAATAAAATAAAATTAGAAAAATTCAACCAAAAAAACAGCGATTATGCCCACACATGCGCATATACATACATACATACACACACACACACACACACACAAGTATAGTCAATGTCAAAAGATGATTGATCGTTAAACTCCAAGTGGAGACTAATCGCTCCCCATCATTTTATTGTTTTTCCTATTGAGTGTTTTTTTTAGTAGCAGTTGAGAACGCACCTCAACAATCTGATCTAAGCACAATCTTCATTTCAAACAATCATCAATTATATCTAACATTTACACAATAATGAGAACTTCCATCTTTTTCATAATTACGCTTTAAGTACTTATTTCACAGTGTTTTCCTCTTCTTGTTTCGATTTTGATTGCAAGACGACTTTGCCGTGTCGTTCACAACCGAAAGGCTTTAATGTGACCTTAAGCAATTTAAAATCCTGGCTCGACTTGGCAAAATCCCTGTTCGTGTTTTAAAAAATATACCTGAAATTCGAGAATACCGCTGTCAACGGGCTTGCAGCGACAGCAGAACTCCATCTAAGATTTGTCACAACTATTTTACAATAGGTTAAGGATAGATTTAACCATGTATCTGCCACTCTTAGGATTACTAAAGATTATTTAGATGATAGGTAGCTGAAATTCGAGATAAAGTATTCACGATGCTCTTAATTCTCTTGATTGAAGTTCGCCACCAAAAAAGAAGGATACAATGACCCCTGCCACAAGGCTCAGAAATTGCAAGTAAAGGATGCTTTTACTTCGGTTAATTCCATTGCATTTCTGCATCTGTCCCTCCGTCCATCTATCCGCCCGTTAATCTATTGATTGATTGAATATCCAAAATCTAAAAAATCGACTCTACTCGATATGTACAGACTTGTCTTGTGTCTTTAAGTTAAGAAGCAATCTGTTGCCAGGATGCGCAAAGTTTTCTAAATTCGCTTTACGTTATAGTGGGGCCTACGTAGAATATCCAAAATGGGAAAGTTTAGTTTATATTATTGAAATGAAGTTTTTCGTGCATACGTTCTGTGCCAATTCCTTGAATTTGGAACTTTGAATCAGTATGCTTTCGTTCGTCCGTCCATTCTTTATTTCAATGCTACTGTTTAAAAGAAGTTTTAATTTCCAAAAAGTTGGATTAAGATATTCAAGCTTGGTTATAGGTCGGCTTTAAATTTGAAATTGGGTTCCTTTTGCTCGCCTGCCCCTCTGTTGCTGCCCATGTTAAGACTTAATCATTAAATCAATTTAATTTTGTCGATCCGTCCGTCCAAATCGTAATTCAGAAACTGAAACAGTTTCGAACCTCCCTCTTAAGTGTAGGACACATAAAGTTTGTCATAAGCCGTACACAATTTTTTTCTTGTTTTCTTGTTTGTTGTGTCTATTTTTAATTTTTTTTTTTTTTTTTTTTTTTATTTGAAAATTCGAATTAATTTTAAAATATTAATAAGAATTTTATAAGTAACTGTGCATTGATGTTGTTTTTTTTTGGATGTCGAAATTTCATGTGCGTGTGTGCAAGTGATGTTTTTGATATTCTGCATAAAATTTATTTGAAATTGCGTTTTTCGGTTAGAGACTTGATGACCTTCAAGTTTTGTTAGAAGCGGTATAGAAATGCAGAAACAATCTAAAAGCCAAAAATCAACATTTAACATTTTTGGTCTAACGATAATCGAGAACAGAATGTTTGAAATAAAATTGAATGCCACAAACCTGATGCGAGCACCATATGTACTCGTGTTGTGTCTTATACAATGATAGATGACTTTTGCACATTGCGCAACACTTGAATTTATATAAATTTTATTCTTGCCGTTATTTGTGCATAACGGCTATAAAACCGCGACTCGAAATACAACTCGCTTTAGCGAAAGATGAAACGAATAGAAAGGATACGAGTTTTGTTGCAAATCTAAGGTCATAGAATATGCATTCGTCTCGGCGTTTGTTCCTTTTACTCATTATTTAGATTCATTTCGAACAAGACAATGTAAAGATTTGATGATTTTCAAGCTAAATGCAACAACTTGTGATTTTTTCACTTTATTCGGCAGAATACCGACCTTGTTCTAATGTCTTGAACAGACCATATATATATGTAGAATATTTCCTTATTTGCTGAGTAAGTAAGAAAGTTCAAGGCACTTTATGTGCTTTACAGCTGCACTACGTCTAATGACAATCACGTTTTTAATATCAACAACAATGACTCTTAGAATTCTCTCTGCCAAGTACTCTATGACACGATGACATTTACTTGAAAATAATTGCGGTAAATGAAATGATATCGTTAAGCACATCGGAAAACAATGTTTTCTAAAGTATAATAAGAACTCGCAGTTTATTGAGAGCTCTTCTCACAAACAATAGTAAGATGGATCGCCTTGTGGCGATTTTTGATGCATAAGCTGGAGTCCACGTAATCAAATTAAATTTTAGATCAATTTTTGCAGTGGAGTTTTTAAGTGACCTGGACGTTGTGGCGCACATATCAACCTTTAGGCTTCTACGCCTATAGCGAACTTTCTAACAAAAGACGGTGGAAGACGTGCACATTGACCGCTTAAGAAAATGTTATGTTCTGAACAGGGTTCTTGCATGAAGGTATACTTTAAACTGTCTAGGCCTTATACTCGTCATATACTCGTCAAGATATCGTTAGAGCTAAATGCTTGTTCATTTGTGGTATTGTGAGTAGCACTGTAGGGAGGCCCCTTGTAAAGTTTTTCTAAAAAAACTGTTGCTTATAGTGAGATTCTTCGCCCATTCAATTTTCCACTCGACGTTGAACAACCTCGAAATCGCCTGCAAGTGTGTGTTTACGTATTTGCCAATCAGTCTGCCCCTCAAGCCATCAGATTGTCAACTTCATTGTCAATTCGACTCCCCATTTGTGTGTATGTCCATTTATCTATGTTTTTAGGCGTCTTTTTGTCGATCCGTCTTATATCTGCATTAAGCAGAGAACTTTGTCTTCTCTTTTTGCCTGACCATTGCAGGTTAACGAGAAGAGGAAAGAGCAAAAGCACATCATTTTTTTGATGCTAACTACTAAATTTTTCGTATCCTTGTGTTTTCCTTAAAAAGACATTCAGAGCAAGTTGTTTAATTTTTTAAAGTGAAAAAAAAAAAAAAATACCATAATAGTATTAAGGTTTGCTTAATTAGTTATTTTGTTTGCACCGAGAAAAGAAAAACAGTTTAAGTGAACATTTTTTGGATTTATCTCAAATTAGCTTTTAATTGCTCTTACGGTTGATATTGATTCGTTTGATTTTGCGAACACCAGCTTGCACATCAAAGTGGAATGTGTAACGGCCAATTAACGTACTTGAACCGGAACATTTAAATGCATTGGTTGTTACATCTGCGGTAAGAAAATAATCCAAAAAAAAAACTCTTGCTTTTGCTTCGACATTGTTCCGTAGAATATTTCTGAAAAAATTTCACGAGCCGATCGGCAAATGTCGGTTGTGATGTAAATTGTTTACCATTGAATCACAGATTAATTTCCAAAAAAAAGTTTTGGTCATTAACTTATGAAATTAATGCAGTTAAAGAAAAGAATTATTAATTTTTTATAAAAGCAAAAATCTTTCCGCCTTTTAAATTATTTGCATATGTATGGTGTTTATCTACAATAAAAATGAACAAATGAAGTCAATGAAAATCAGTCAGCAAATAAATTACGGAGTTATGGGTTAATTTATGCACACGTCTCGCGGTCAATTTGTAGAAAAATGGCAAAACAAAAAGAGAAAAAAAAAAAAAAATCACATAAAAGATGTTACATAATGAACAATAAATTATTATAATTATGACAGATTTTAACGCGTAACTTTAAAGTTAGTACTTAGTCTCGCCATTCGTATTAAATAAACAATCGAGTTCATCTACATATCTACTTCACGGCTATTTTGAAAGACTATAAGGTTTTGGGCGGGGAATGAAGGAAGCCATCATATACTTCTCATGTATGGAAAATAATTTCCTTAATTATGTAATTTATCTTGATACGCGTCTACTTTCTACGAATTTCATGTGGGAATTGAACGCTCAAGTTGGAAGTAAATTACTTTCAATTGCTTGCGAAAATGCCATTTAATGTTTGCAAAATGTGTTTGATCTAAAAAGGTGTAAGAAAAGATAATATAATTATGCGAATTGTCTGTCGCAGCTTCTTGAAAAATGGTTGCAATGCTTACTTGAACACCTTACCTCCAACAATATTTCTTTTTTTCACCGATCACTCAGAGGGGTGCACCCCTAAACTTTTTAACGATTGAAGCTACAACTAAAGTGAACTCCAACGCACAGGGGATTAAATCCACGAACGCTGACTTGCGTGATTGCGATTCTTACCCACTAGGCTACTTAGGTAAAAGCCCTTCTATGGCAGCGCAGTATCATTTTTAATATTTTATAAGGAAAATTGATCCAAAAAGGAATGATATAACGTAACTGTGCCAGCTTGGGTTTATAATGAGCCATCCTTTTTCTATATAAGGACTCACGATAAATAAAGCTTCATAGCGCCATAAAGAGTAATTTTTGGCCTTTCATGAGGAAAATAAGTAAAGAATTCTCTCTTCTTTTAAGCAACATGATGTAGGGTATTTAATGGTCGGTTTTGGATGAGTACAGCATTTTAAGTCTTTTTCATTTAATTCTCATTCATTTTGTTTTCTATATGCTTGCAGAACTATTTGCGCGAATTACGGGCTCGCAACGTTTATGGGGAAATCGCTATGGTATTAATAAGATATGGAAGGGTACATCTCCCTATGTATTGTTATTCGATCCCGAAACTGTTGAGGTAAATTTTTGAAAAGATTCCTTAAAGCAACTGATATCCAGTGTCTTTCTTTACAGCCCGTATTAAATAGTCAGAAATTCATTGATAAAAGTCGCGATTACGACTATTTGCAGCCTTGGCTCGGTACGGGTCTGTTAACCAGTTTTGGCCGAAAATGGCATTCTAGGAGAAAGGTCGGTATTTATGAGTTTTTTTTTTTTTGATTTTTTTGCATTAACACTACTGTTCGTTTATATTGTACTTTATTATCTCGAGCCATTTATGATAAGAATCTTAATGAGTTCTAAAAAGTAATTCATGCTAATTAGTAATTACTTTTACCAATAATTAAATTTGCGTATAAAAATCACGAAACCGTTAATTTCCGCAGATATTAACGCCTGCTTTTCACTTCAAAATTCTCGACGATTTCATTGATGTGTTCAACGAACAAAGTGTTATATTAACACGAAAACTGGAACATGAAGTCGGATCAGAAGCTTTCAATCTATTCCCTTACGTCACTTTATGTACTTTGGACATTGTCTGCGGTAAATATATAGACGAGATATAGTCAATTAAATCAAAATTTTCTTCTAACGATATTTGACTTTCTTTTCACTCGCTTAGAAACCGCTATGGGACGCAGTATTTGTGCTCAGAGCAATAGCGAATCTGAGTATGTTAAAGCGGTTTATGGGTAAGTCGTAAGCGTCATATATATATACTGAGCTTAAGGTTTATAAAATAAATTAATGAATTTGTTTATCTTAAGGACTCATTATATATTAGATTATTTTATATAAGATGCATAAGAAAAATGTTGTTGATTTTCCAATCGAAAAACTCAGGTTAATTGCTTCCGAAATTTAACTAAAGTCTCCGTGAAAGCTATCATACATCGGCGCGAATACTTGAATTTATGAAATCTATCATTATTTGACAGTAAGATGACATGTTCGCATACACATTTAATTGACTGACAGGAGATTCAATTTGAGGTTTGGTGTCGTTCGTGTGAAAAATTAGTAGGATTAACATGTCAAAGCGATTCTTGTGGCATAAAAGAGAGAAAATAAACTGAAAGCAATTGTTTTTGCTTAACACATAACATCACATAAGCATCCTGTGCTTTAGTTTTCGCAAATTGAAAATTTATTTTCTAAATATTATTTATATTATTATACACCTCGCTGATAGAGGTAAACATATACATACATATGCATGTATATAATATTTTTTACGTTTCTCTTCTTGCGCAGCATTGGTGAAATTGTACAAAATCGCCAGGCAAAAGTGTGGCTACACTTTGATACCATATTCCGTCTGACTAGAGATTTTAAACGTCATCGCAATTACATCAACACATTGCACGGCTTCTCCAATAAAGTGATACGCGAGCGCAAAGCGGAATTATCTGATAATGCTTTCAATAATAATACGATTAGCAATATAACAGACGGTTACGATGATTTGGGTAAAAAGAAACGTTTGGCATTCTTGGATTTGTTAATACAATACTCGAAAAATGGTGCTAAACTGTCAAACGATGACATACGTGAAGAGGTGGATACATTCATGTTTGAAGGTCATGACACCACTTCGGCCGCCATATCGTGGACGTTATTCTTGCTAGGCTGTCACCCCGAATATCAAGAACGTGTAGTAGAAGAATTGGAGTCAATATTTGGCGATGATCGCGAGAGTCCAGCTACCATGAAAAATCTTCTTGATATGCGTTACTTGGAATGTTGCATTAAGGATGCTCTGCGCTTGTTCCCTTCCGTACCAATGATGGGACGCAGTATTGGCGAAGACGTGCAAATCGGTAATTAGACGAAACTTTTGCTTATTTTAAAGTAAAATTTGGAAAAAAATTTGTTTTTGTTTTTTCCTCCTTAGGAGAATATTTAGTGCCCGCTGGCACTACTGCTATTATCATGACATATATGTTGCATCGTAATCCCCGCGTATTCCCCAAACCAGAGCAGTTCAATCCCGATAATTTCTTACCAGAGAATTGCGTCGGTCGTCACCCGTTCGCTTATATACCCTTTAGTGCAGGTCCACGCAATTGTATCGGCCAGAAATTCGCCATACTCGAAGAGAAGGCTGTCATCTCGACAGTTTTGCGCAAATTTAAGATCGAGGCTGTCGATAGACGTGAAGATTTAACACTTCTAAGTGAATTAATATTGCGCCCCAAGGGTGGTTTACGTATTAAAATCACGAAACGTGATTAGGTTAGCATGCACAGCATGTCCAACCATACCCTCCTTTAACTCATCTTGCCTTAAATTTAATTACATATATAGCGTATAAATGCACCATATTTATATATATATTTCTCTCGTATATAGCATACTAAGGAGATCTAAATTAGCTTAAGTTAGATGCCAATATTGGACAAACCCGGCCGTATGTAAGTTTGTAAATAATTAAATAGTTTGTTAAAATAATTTAAATTTTAGTTTATTCCAATGTTATTTTATTTTTGTACGACGGATTCTAAATTGCTTATGCTAAGACTTTTACTGTAAATATCTTAACAAATTTACTGAATAATATATAAAAATATTTAACTCTCATTAACTATCCGATGATTTCTAATGCACTGGAACTACGAATGTCTGATGTGATGTGAAGATGCGAGCTATAATATGTCAGTAAGATTGCCCTTAGCAACCTGAGTTTGTTGCCATTTCTTCTGACTGTCGCTGGTCACTAAAATTTTTTTGATTCTTTGATTAAGAACTTTGATCTAAGGAACGGAGTACATGGGAGCTACGAGTGAAATGAATATGAAATAAAACAAGTGAACCTCTCAGATATAAGTTAAGCTTGCAGTGTTTCGTTTTTTTTTTCCAATGAACTATTATAACTTCTGTCTAAAAAGAAGCCTCGGAAGATGAAGATATACAAGACCGAGTACCCGCTATACTTTGTCCAAATCGGTTTTGTAATTACAAGTTGTCTTGTGGGAGGATCCTGTTATCCAACGAAGTGTGCCACAGGCAGCAGGAAAACACCTCACACGGTGTATGAGGTGGATAAGTGTACAAGCGTGAGCTAGATTTGGCGCCATTGCATGTACTTAGATTATAGAAAAATCCTAAAAGTATGCAGTTACTTTTGTTATTAACTTTTTATTATATATGGAAACAAGTATGTTTACACACATTCACACCAACGCTCGCACATTTCTCGCTTTCCCTTCTCATTTAATTTTCTATTTTTACTTCGCTCAACTTGTGTTACTATTGTTATTATTATGTTCTTTGCTGTTTTTAGATATTGAATATACGCAGATATACATATGCATCGATGAGCATAAGTACGTATGTTTCTTGTACAACTAGCCAAAGTATAATAATAAGCGATTAGAGGACTTTTCATCACTTCCAAGACCGCAGTGCTCGAATACTACCTTCAGCCTAATTTGTTGCAATAAAGCAAAAATTTAATCAGATTTTCATCTGATTTCCTTACAATTATATTTTTTTTTTCTTAAAATTTTTCATTTCCGTTTCATTTTGTAGGCAAAGGGGATGAAAACCAGCTTTTGTTTGCGCTTTTCAATGTTTCAATTGAATTGAAATAACGATACAAAGTGTGGGTAACCGAAGAGCATAATTATAAAAGTGTTTGCTTAGCAACGTGTGTCAATTTATAGGCATTACAAGGGTTCTCTAGCTAAACCTATGTAAATATCTTAGGGCAAAGCAAAAAAAAAAAACAGAAAGAGAAACCTATGTGCGCTCTGAGTCGAATTTGAAACAATAACATAAGAATTGGGAATATTTTGTTAATTGGTGGCGTTTCAATTGGCTAATCGGAGTTATTTTTGCGCTGGATTGGTTGAACGACTCGATAGATAGTCGCACCGAATATATGCATATAAGCTTTAGCTTTTATGGGCTAGTTTGTAAGTAAATTTTCAAGTGATTTGTGATAATCAACTGAACTAAGAATTTCAAGAGTCTAAAGAATCATGTTGCCATCTCAATAGTATTGAAAGTGAGTGTTTAAACAATGCACAACAAACGAAGAAATCGACAATGAGATATTTATAGGCCTACATTGGATTCATATGCTACGCTTACGACATCTCAAAGTTCAGGAAGCAATTAAAAGCATAGCCCACAGTTACGTTTGGAAGGGGGGCATGAAAACTACTTTTCTCTAAAGTGTACAACGAATTAAATGCGAGCTGTAAAAAAAAACTCTATTTAAAAGAAATTTATTGCGAAAGCCCTTCAAACGTTTAACACTAGACAATATCACGCAATGATAACAGTACAAGTAAAGTGATTTATTGTTTAATTATTTAAACTCAAAAACACCAATCGTAAAAATTCAAACAAAATTTTTCCTATAAACAATAGTAAAGTGAATTGAAATAGAGAAATGTTGATATATATTAAAAATATTTATAACTGATAAAAAACAATTTCAACTTCAGAAACTATTTTTATGGCCGTCATTTAAGAAATGCACTTAGTGGTAAGATTTCAATGTTAAACAAAAAAAAAAAAAAAAAAAAAAAAACGAGAGCAAAATTGATTTAAACTTTGTTTAATTTTAACTTTGTTCAATACCTGTCCCGTTTTGCTATGTTTTTTTTAAACTTGACTATTAGAAGGTAAAAGCAAATCTCTCTTTCGCTCTATCTCTCTCTCTCTCTTAACAAGGGCTTACAGTTGGTGTAATTCAATGATCGCCGTCCAGCTTTTCCTCTGCCTCAAATTCGGTCTTAAATGCTTTTCATTCTCTCTTTAATTTATCCTCAAGCATAAGGTCAGACAACCCATCGGTTTGTTCAGCTGTATCGCATAGTTGTAGTTCAGATGACGCGCGGTAATTGCGTGAACCATTTCTTTAGACATTACATTATTCGCTCGATGGTTTCTTATATTTTACCTGAAAACAATTGTGATCCACACATTTTGAATCACACAAGCTCCGTATGGTTGGGATTCTGGTTTTCAGACTGCTTTCAAAAATCTTTCTGCAGCGACCATGTAGAAGTCCGTTTGCTCTGCTGGTATTCTAGCACACAATTCAAATATAACCTTAACATACGTCAGAATAATTCTTTCGTTTCGTGTATTGAGCAAAACGGGTCCAACGTGAAGACGGAGTTCTTGACTTGAATCTTAATGCACACAATACACAGTTATATGCTGAAGATGGTTGTGGTTTTCCAACAACAGCATAAAAACTTCAAATAATTATCTTTCCATTATGCCCTTGAACGATTTCCTCAGCGAAGTCATGATATGTTTGTTATTTTCCGAGTATGCTATGCTAAGCATGTTACTCTTTCGGTAAACGATGTACTCTGCTATAGCAACAATTCAAATGTGACGTGTTTATGCTTGTTACACTTATGAAATCAAATGCTGTCGCTTGCGTAATATATTACGCCCACAACGCTATGCTTTTCTTCAGCATCGAAAGATTCCTTTTGAACCTACCAAAATTTTTGCTTTTCCCTCTTTTTTTTTTTTTAATTTTTCCTTTTGATTTATTGCTTGAAAATGCGATGCGTACAGCTGAACGCAGTATATTTGTTCGTTACACAAAGAAAAAAAATTTATTGAAATTTTACGTTACGTTTCGTGTATTTTTAAAATACTTGTGCATCATTTGGATTGCAATGCCAAGGCTTAAACGTCGATTTAATCGCTGACTGTGGAGTTTTTCATCATACGCAATGTTTCACTTCGTTGCATATAAAAAAAGAAGAAAACCGAAAAATAAAGCAAAAAAAAAACAAACAAAAATTTCAAAGTTTTTTATTTAAATTTCATATAAAATGCAGCGCAACATTTTATAAGTAAAGCCTTATAAGCTCTTAATCGATATGTATGCGAGTACCCATCCAAACGCACTACTCCGAAATAGTTGGAAATTTTTATACACTTTTTATCAGTTACTTTGCTTGTGCTTGTTTATGTTTGTAAGAGCAAGCGTAATGACCACTAAATGAAGATCTCGTTAAGCGAATTGATTGACGTCATCTTTTATTAAAAAGAGGACTTTTTTTTTTTTTTTTTTTTTGGCTAAAATACTATGAGCATTAACATTTTCACACAGTCAATATCGTTTAAATTATTGTATCTTAACGCCAGCGGTGTTGTGCCTGCCGTGAGTTCCATGTGATCTCAGATATTTTTGGACAAAATGTCTTTGTGGAAACGGTCGCAATTAATGCAAAAGTATGATCCTTTGCATGCTCTTTCCCTCTGAAGGGCAATGCATTATATAGGGTCACAATGGACTTGAAATAATTTTTGAATAAGAAGAATCCCATAGTTCCTAGATAAACGGCTGACGTTGAAAATTATTTGCGCTAGAATGAAAGTGAATCAACACAAAACATTACCCCCATAGGATATGTCAGAATATAAACTGTCAAACGATACGACAGACACTTTCGTACATCCCGACATTGTAAAACTCGCTGGTCCCACTGACAACACAGTGCTGTGCGCTCAATTTTGCTAAATATTCAAAATCCCGCCCGTCGCGTAGTAACGTATTATCGCGACTACTTAAGTCAGTGTTCGTGGGTTCAAATCTCTGGTGCGGTGGAGTTTTCTTAGATCGGTAAAGGCATAACACATACTGATTGGCCGCACAGCTACTAGATTGCGGTCGCCTACGCCTCTTTATTTTCTTCTCTCGTCTCTCCACATCCCGACGGTCGCATTGCTACGCGAAAGGGGCAAATCCGTGCGAGATTGATTACAAGTCAATTCCAGAGACAGTTTAGCAGGAGTCTTAAAAGTTTTCATTTTTGACAGTGTTGGGAGGAAAAAGATTCAACCATTTCTTAATCTGTTTTTTGACATTGACTTGCGAAAGGGTGGTATTGTTGATGTGAAAATGTCCAGTAGAATTGACAGGCTTATGATGCAGCAATTCACGATACCTGCGTCGAGTAGAAATCATTAAAAATGTTTACCAAACTGGCAGATCAGTTGTGTGTGCTCGTCGCGGAAGATTCAGAGACAATTAAAGCTGGATAGAGTGGTTAACAATTGGAGCCATCGTGCGCGTCAATGGGTTCAGAAAGAGCTTGTGTAGCTTCAAAGCGTAGAAGCATGAGTCAGTCTTAATGGGGAATCTTTCACTTCCAAGTGAAAGACAAAAGTTTTTCGAAAAAGATACGGCATACGGTATATCAAGCAGCATGTTGCACGGCTTAGCCCTCTATGCCATCATTTTCATTTCCATC